TACTGCAGCACTAGTAACTCACACACACGTGAGTTGTAGTGAGCATAGCTAATTTTTTCAGAAAGCTCAAAGCGCCATTGTTTCAAACAAACACATGCACAGTAACACACACTGGGACACACGCGCTGACAGCCAGAGAAGCGGTTATGTCGGAGCCAGGCGGTCCTAGGAGGAGAAATGCGATTACATAACAGTGAAGAGAGGAAGGATGTCTTTTGGAAAAGGATGGTGGAACACATTGTTGGGTTGAGCAGAGATGGAGGAGGAGTATGGAGAGACATAACCCATCAGCAAGCCCTGTCCTTTTAAATATGTTTTACTCAATCTAAAGCTACAATGAGTTGACTGGATGACATTGCCTTGTTTCTAAGGAGGTTTATCCATCTGCTGCGTCTCCATTTGATGCTGGGATGTTTCAAATGTGATGATGGTGAGTCTACCAGTCAGTTTGATCTGGAGCTGTGATGTCACAGCAACTGATGACTAAGGAGGGGGTGTGGCGGGATGATGCAAAGACTGAGAAATAAAGAGGCACATGACAGCTTCACACAAGCACTGAAGGCTAAAAATAGACCTCCGCATCAGGCTAGAGATCGCCATAAACAACAAGGAGAAGTAAAAATAAACGCAGTTCAAAGGACACGTGATCAGTGCTGGTCTGATACTTCAACAGTCAGCAGTGATCTACTATCACTGAATACTAGTTGGTATTTTAGGGTTATATAGTGTTTATATGATCTATCTAGGGTTGATGATTCTTGGAGGATTTTTAAAGATTGGTAAATCTTTAACTAACAGATAATTGAATGAAATCTACACAATTTAGGTTTGGAGCTCTCCCCTCAATCTTTTAAGAAAACATCTTGGTTAACAAGTAGCTTTATAAAATCATCATACTCTCTGATTTTGCAGAAAGGGAACAATATGGTGGTATAAAAGAAAGGAGGGCTTCTATTCATCAAACATTATGCAATGGGTAGCTGAGTCACCTACTAGGTGATTGAATAAGTGAATTTAAACCAAATCAAATCAGTTTATTTGTACAGCTCCAACTTAAAACACATGTCATCTCAAAGAACTTGAGTCATTTAATTAAATCAAACAGATGGACTGGTTAAAACACTTTCCATCTAAGGAAAAATCAGCGGATTAAATCAAGTCATTGACTAACAGAATTCATTCTTCATGCATGAGCAGTTGAAAGCAGACAGACGTTTGCTTAGTGATGCTGACTTTGCAGCAATGCCGCATATCAAGCATGCATGCAGGAACAGTGGAGAGGAAAAGTTTTGTTTTATAGATAGAAAACTACAGCAGAACTGGTTTGTTTGGAGCCCTAATTAGGTCCAGACCCCGACTTTAGGACGACTTGTCTGGTGTGTTCAAACCAGTCCAGGTGTAAACGATCTGAGCTACCTGTAACTTATGGTAACAAAAAACTAAACCTATATTAATTCAAAGAATGTTTTTATTGATTGAAAGACTTCCAATAGGAGACTATACACCTAAAAAACTGCCAATGGCTTGATTTCTGGGACTGTTTATGAGAAGAAATAAAAATCCTTCCTAATTTTTGTCAGGGTTTAGTTGAGGTTTTGAGCACCCAAATGCAGAGGGGAGGAGGCTGAGTTGAGTTCTTGAAGATTTAATTTAATAATTGAGGCAGGAAATCCAAAAACCAAGGTACAAAAAACATGGAACCAAAAGCCAGACAACTTCATGGGGAAAAACTTACGTGGGGGACCAGGAAAAGATGAGGAACAAGCACCGAGGAACTGCACAGGGAGAGTATATATGGGAGACTGAACAAAGACAGGACTAATGAGCTGAATGGGAGCAGGTGTGAACAGAGGATTCTAGAAGGGAGCTAGGGAAAAGGAGATCAACACCAGAGGGCAACAAAGAAAAACCTAAGAACTCAAATACATTCAAAAAAACGCAAACAAAAACTGAATACTCAAAAGAAAAGAAAACCCTTAGCAAGGGTGTTGCAATACGGTACGCATCACGATACTTTGGTCACGATACGATATCCCCATATATCAAGACATATTTCAGTATACTACCCAGCTAATGTTTAAATTAAATGTAGAGATAAAAGACAAGTGCAGCATATTCATTAGAAGATATTGATCATTCAGTTATCTTGGTGTTTGGGGTTTGAGTCAGTCCCCCTCTGCAAATGTAATTGCCTCTACTACATGCACAACAGAAGGGTTCCAGGGCTCCGTCGACCGGTGCGGCGTTGCGGAAGTAATGCACACCCCCCCATTGTTTTAGGGAAAAATGTCTTTAAAAAAAAATGGTATTAGAAGGTAAAGGATCAGTATTATATCAGGATGCCAAAAATCCCAATATATTGCCAAATCGATTTTTTTCAGACACACCTAATGTAAAGTCAAATTAAAATGACAAAAGAAGAGGCCAGCCAGCGGGTTAAGGAAGAGGAGGAAGAACAAGTTTGCTTCTAGCTTGAAAAAACTTAAATCAAAATTTCAGCTAAAGTTGTCAACCTATAAATAATAAGGAACATCCAGCCTATAATCAGCTTTTTAGACTCTACAAAAAGCAGCCACCCTTCTGAATGTTAGCCTCTTACACCCTAAGGGGGTATAAATAAATTTCTGCCTGACAAAAACACACAAAAGTAAATAACTTATAGCCTCAAAGCTATTAAATTTAAGAAGAAACTTTTGGTACATCTGTAAAGGTAAGATGTCATAGAATGGTTTTCTGGTGTCAGCACCATTGTAGATTTGACCCTGTCTGAAATATTAAGGACAAAATACAAAATATTTTGCATTTTTTGAACCTCGCCAAAATTTTCTTTGAAATAAACATTGCAAAACACTACCAAAATATTATTTATAGCACAAAAAAGTAGTACAGACTTTCAAATCTAAATGTTGTGTAAAAATATACCAAATTTGGACTCAATCAGATGAATCATATTTGATTCTGCTGGAGTCCTCCTCACTCTCCATCTCTCTGTGTGTGCTGTATGTTAACACCCACCAGCGGAAACACCCACCTACCCAACTGACAGACGGAATCTCACTATAAATCAGCCGTTCTCATCCTCCCCTCTCTCATGACAAGGCGCGCACGAGTCCTATCATGAAAATAGGTTCATTGTGTGACCTGAGTAACGCTCAGTAACGCGGTGTCTGCAATGGTAACTGCGTTATAGTTACAGTCAAAGTAATTAGTTAGATTACTCGTTACTAAAACAAGGTAACGGCGTTAGTAACGCTGTTACTTTCAACGCCGTTAGTCCCATCACTGCACATTAATGTATATTGCATTTTAAGAACAAATGTTTTTTTTTCCCTGAGCAATTAAATAACATGTGAGAGGTTTTATTTTTCCTATTTTCAGGATTTTTTTTCCTGCTGCTGTGAGGTGATGCAACACTTTCTTTGATTTCTACCAAAGCTTATATATTTATATGCACCCTCATGAGCAGAGATGGCAAAAGTACTCACTTTCTGTACTTGAGTAAAAGTACAGATACTTGTGTTAAAAAATACTCTGGTAAAAGTGGAAGTACTGATTAAACTTCTTTACTCAAGTAAAAGTAACAAAGTACAGGCTTGTAAATTTACTTAAAGTATAAAAGTAAAAGTAGAAACCACTTTTTTCATGCCGTTGCCTACATTTTAAATGGATGTCTGCCAATAGGACTAGATCTCCGTTGTGTTCATTTTCAATCATCTCGTCGTCCATGCTACTATGCTAACGCCACCGCCACCAAGCTGCAATGATTTGCAGCGAATGAATACCGCCGAATCTGTCGATTCATCTTGTATTGGTGCGTCAAATGCAACGTAGATTCCCATCTAATTAGATTGAATTTGGTATTGATGACGTGAAAAATAATAATGGTAACTCCATTGAAATTATTCAAAACTAAAGTAACGAGCCAATTTTTAAAAATGTAAGGAGTAGAAAGTACAGATATTTGTGTAAAAATGTAAGGAGTAGAAGTAAAAAGTCGCCATAAAAATAAGTAGTAAAGTAAAGTAAAAATATCAGAAAACTCTACTTGAGTACAGTAACGAAGTATTTGTACTTTGTTACTTCCCATCTCTGCTCATGAGTAGGGACATTACTTGTCTTAAGTCTATTTCTCTTAAATTCAGTGGAGACAAAGGTAATAATAAATTCCTGGAAATTAGTAAAAAAGCACTTTTCACGTCATTTAGCTCAAAAATAGTAAAAATGTTATCTAAAATCTACAGTTTTAGTAATAGTATATACAGTAATTCTGGATGGTTTCAAACGAAATCAGGGGAAGCGCAAAGACAGAAGAAGCTATTTAAAAGCAAACTGTAACGTCAATAACATATTTATAGTTCATTCAAGCTGGGAGAGTTTAAGAGGCAGTGATATTTTCAGCAGACAACAAATAGTCTGAATGAAGCGCAGCAGTTAGTCTGTTTCATCCTTTTGTGGTTCTGTCAATCATGGAAAACTGTTTTTAGTAATGTTAACATCCTTGTGGGAATCCCAGAGAAATGATGAAGTCAGTCTAAGACCAAAACAGAAATGTATTCTGGACAGAAACAGCGAGATAAAACACTCCATGGGAAAAATAAAAGATCGGTTGGAGGGCATTGATCATTTTAGACATTTCCTGACATGACGTATACAATACAAAAATATCTGTAAAGATCAGAATTCCCTGGAGGTCTTACATCATCACTGAATAGCTCCAACTTATTTCAGGCTTTGCAGAATGTTTTATAAAATATGCAACATCTCCCTACAGATGTTTTAAATCATTTGGCCTTACCAGGGCTTGTAAATGTATATTTTACACATCTAAATTCTTAAATGTAGTCCAGTTACATTATTAGTGTTTAAAAATCCAGCTAGATTTTAAATCAGCAGTTTAGACCTTGGAGGTGACTTTAGCGGCTCCAGCGTTAATGAACAGGCAGGCAGGGGTCACCTTTACAGAGGCAGGAAAAAACACATCAGTAATCCGGGCAACTCACATTTCCTTGCAGAGGATGCCGATCCGCTGGCTTTCTGAGCTGCTCCGCTCCTTCGACAGGCTGAGCTCCTCCTGGAATTTGGAGTTCTGCTGTTTCAAATGCTCGAGCTGAAGAGGAGAAACAGGCAGAGGAGTAAAGAGAAATCTCCAGGTTACTCCTAATTTATCAAATTCAATGCATCATTCATAGCCACAATGGTTAAGTTCCATTTTATATTATGTAATTTTATTTCGATTTCAGGCGAGCTATAGGAACAACAGTTCATTCTTTCTGCTTTTAGGGAAAACAGCAGCAAGTTAATGCTAAAGAAAACATTTATTAACCGAGCTTTGGTTGGTTCTCTGCAGTGCATCTTAAAATCCCAAAGAGAGACGACAACAATGACCTTAGAGAAACTATTGCTCTTCTTCAACAGTCTGAAAGGAGTTGAAGCCACGTAAACATCCATCATGACAGAGGTTGTTTACACATTAAGAAAGACTCAAGATATTTGAAAATCTTAGCAGTCAGTATTTCAAAAAACAATCAACCCATAGTTAGTTCCTACAAGACCGAGAGGAATAAGAAAACAAAAAGAACAAGAGGTTAATTTCAGACTGCATTAAAGTTAAATACAGGACAGACAAAAAAAGTCAAAAACTATGGAATGAATTGAAAGGTTTCCATAAAAAACACTGTTAGGTTTAAAAAACTGCATCCAAATAAGTGATGAACAGCAGAGAAAATCCCAAACCAACCAAAAGCATGATCACCATATTAGTAAACAGATTCCACTGCTGGGTCAAAAACAATCCAGATGTTTAGTGAATGCCTCAAAGGTTTGTTAGCGAGCTTCAGTCCGCACACAGAATCACGAAGGCAGATGAACACCATCTTAAAAAGGTTTCCTAAATTAAAGATTATTAGTTACTTTCTGACTAAAGGTGATAATAAACAGCTGGTATGAACTTAGATATCTGTTTCAAAGGAGAGCAAGGGAAATAGAAACAAAGTGAAACTAAAAAAAAGGACCAATAATATCATCTTCTTAAACTTTTTCTAGAGCTTCAGACTCCAAACATATAAGGAGTCCCTCCTGACACCTCAGAGACAAAAAGACACATTCAGCGCAGCCTCATCCACAGACCTCCAGGACCAATGGTCAGTGAACCATTAAGAGCAGGAGTTTAAATCAGTACCTAAAAAAATGTCCAATCATGAAGAAGCCAGCATGCCAGAGCTCTAGCGTATGTTTCTGTTTTCCCTTCATCGTTAGGTATGAGATCAGCTGTGCTGGGGATGCCTCCCAGTTTAAAATATGCTCAACACAGCAGCTCAGTAACATAAACGATCACATGTTAACTTCAGGGTGATCATGGAGCAATTGTCATGCAGTAAATCTGTACCACATGCTGAAAAAGTAAATCCTGAGGCAGCATGGAGGGAAACTAAACATCTGTTTAGGAAAAAGAGGAGGAGTCTTTCTAATTCACTGCTTAATAAGAACTGGTCCTACCTGGTAATGGGGTGAGTAGATGTTGTTGGAGTAGCCCTGATGTAGAGCAGCTATGTCCATACCTACGCTGCAGGAATTTCAGATGATTCAACCTGCTAAGCGGCTTCTGTTTTGTCACTGATGCTCCGTTCTTGTTCTGCCTGTATCACCGACAGGCAAACACAAGCTGAGCATCAATAAAACATCAGTCCTCGTCTCCCGCCGTGCACAGCAGCAGGAGGGAAACGAAGAGTGTGTTGCCTGAGCTGCCTCTCTCTCCCTCTCACGTCGGGTTAAAGAGGCAGTCTGCTTACATAATGAATGCCTGCAGAAGCTCCTCCCAGTTCTCATCGCCACCTCATGGAAGTTTGCTCCCTTCATGTGTGCCTACACTTCTCAGAAAGCTTTACCATTCAGAGCTAACCACAGCAACTCATCTTTAATTTTTTTTGTCTGCTGCACTGTTTACCAATATATGGCAATAGTTCATAATGATGCTCTGAAATATGTGCTTCAATATTTATTACTTCCATTTTTTTTCCCCCTTTTTCGGAAAAATGTGATATGATAGTAAATGTATGTGAGGTTTTTAAATGAGGATGTTCTGTTAGACCAGCATACCCATAGTCAATACCTATTTATCCCTTTAGTTTATCCCTTTAGGTAAGAAAATTTAGAGTTCAGTAAAACTCTTAATTCAATGATACAAAACAATTCTGCTTGTTTACCAGGTTTGATTAGCTATAAGTCATTATTTTAACTGTTGAAGCTTTTTATCGAAACTCGATTCAAAAACTGTAGATGCATTTCCAAGTCAATGATGCAGAAACATCGGTGTTCTGTAAGATGAGCATACTCGGTCAGACCAGCATACCCATAGTCAATACCGTTTATCCCTTTAGTTTTGTATGAAAAATACACTATAAACAACCTCAACGGGCCTGTATCCCTTTAGTCATGTACAAAAAAAACTATTTAATTACGGTACTTACTTTTTGGTGTTTTTTGAAGTGTTCGGCGATCTGACCTTAAATTGGTTTTTGTACATGACTAAAGGCATACACGTCTGTGTCTTCAGCAGGCGTAGAGCTAACAGAACTGGCAGCGTTGCGAGGCAAGGGCTCAAACATGTACGGCTGTAAGCCTTCTACACCAAACCAAGCTTCTGCCGCCCTGGCGTCCTCTTCCACAACATCTTTGTCCCCATTTTCCTCCTCTAAATAAAAAACGATGGCGGAGGAGACTCATCCACGACCTCCGACACAAAACTCTCCTCCTCTTACATGTTTCCTCTGTCCATAGCGTTCCTTGACAGTGTCGTTTCTAAGTCACCAATTTAGTGCTACTTGGTCCCAATGGAATTTCCCATTGGGAACCTACTAGCACTAAGTTGCTAACTGGGTAGCAAGATGCTTCCGAGACACCGGCCATAATCTTTGAATTGACCAATCACATTCAGTTTATTCACTCGTGTAAAGTCTTGGGAGAATTCAGAAAATGTAACAGCCGTTTCCCTGCGACTTTAAAGTGTATTTTTCTTACAAAACTAAAGGGATAAAAGGGGCAAAACTAAAGGGATAGTTGACACTAGCATACATGTATGCAAGAAAGAGTTTGGGAGTTTCTTCATGGGCATAAACAGACAGGACTGACATCAAACAGAGCCGATTAAGTGTAGCATACAGTAAAAACAAAATAAATAGATAAAGTGAAGGTTTTCCGGTTTGTTTAAATACACAGAGAAAGTTTGTGATGATGTTGTGATGGGATTTAATGCAGAGGCAGTGACCAGATTCACTAGAGAGGCTGGTTTGGGGCCAGTTTTTTTTTCCATTAATTTTTTTATATCTCTCTTAAGAAAAAAGATTTATTTGCATGGCATATTGTGTGGCAGAAGAGGTCATTTTACTGGTGAAGATTCTCAGTCTTCCAGGTCATAGTCATTCCCAAAAAGTTTTTTAAGAAAGTTAAACAAACCTCTGGACTTTGTTTACCAAGTTTTAAGATGTTTTGCTTCCCATCCAGAAAGCTTTCTCAATTCAAAATGTCTTTAAACAAATAGCCTTTAGACAAAGACTGGTGCATCCTAAGGACAAAACCCCCAGACCTAAGATGAGCAGAATGGTGCATGCAGTTCAGTGCAGTAAGGAATGTTCTGATCTTTATATCGGAGAAACCAAACAACCTCTCCACAGACATATGCCCAATGCAGAAGAGCAACCTCCGCAGGACAAGACACAGCGGTACATCTACATCTAAAGGACAAAGGACATTCGGTTGTGGACCAAAATGTTCACATTTTGGATAAAGAAGGCAGGTGGTTGGAAAGGGGTGTGTAGAAAGCCATTTATGTTAAGAAAGAAAAACCATCCCTGAACAGAGGGGGTGGACTCAGGTTTCAGCTTTCAAAAACGTACAACGCAGGGATAGAGTTGGTTGCTTCCCACTATCATCTCAACCCCCACCGCTATCACAGATCCTTCCTTTAAACCTCAATAAGTTCTTACATTCATGCTGATTTTGCACAGTTTCTATCTTAGTCAGTTAAATAATATCCTGCTGTCATTTTGCACATCTCTGATATTGCTGCTATTTTCAAATATTACTGTAAAAATGTCCATAGCTGTATATTGGTTATTTATTCTCCAGGTGCACAGTATTATATTGTTAAAACATTTTACAGTACAGTATTTTATTGTTTATCTTTTAACTCTTCACTATTATGTTATTCTTATACATTTTTTTAAGCTCTACATTTGTGTGACCATTTTTCTATAATCTTTTTGCTGCTGTAAACACCAAAATTTCCCCATTGTAGGACAATAAAGGGATTTTCTATTCTATTCTATTCTATATGCAGGGGACCAAACATCTCGCTTGTATAGCCAGGCCAGCAATGACCCTAACGACTCCCTTTTCAGAGGCATAGGCCAGTATCAGATTTTGCAGGCCAAGAACGACCTCAACCTCGTTTTCTAAGCCAAAACAAGGCGTTTGTTTGGGTCACTATATAAGCATGGACCTGAATGCTACTCCAGACATTTTGAACTGAGAAAGATTTCTGGATAGGAAGCAAAACATCTTCAAAGTCCAGTGAGTATTTTTTATGTTGTTTTTCCTTTTATTTTAAGCTTTTTTGGAAAGGGGTAATTTCATTAAAATAAATTACACATCATTTGCACAAATGCAGGAGTCCAGGCATTTTTGTTGTCAGCTTCTAACTTTATCGTGACGGTTTTCTCTGCCAATGGGGTTTTGCTGTAGAGCTTTATTTCCAATTAGCTAATAAGTACGTTTTCCAATGACGCATTTTTTCTCCAAGAGCACACACGGTGTGTCTTGTAAACAGAGAAGTATGGCGGCTAATGAAGGAAAAGTTGCGATAACTACGCCAGTTGTCATCGGATGCTGTTAAGTATCTATAGTTATGCTGCTTAAGGCTTAGACTTCTGGAGGACATAGGGACCCCTATTTCATCATCTCTATTCTCCCACTCTGCAGAATCTGTTAGTTCAATCTCTAACGTTCTGCTCTCTCTGCTTTTTCTCATAGTAGCTTCATCTGGTCTGTTCCTGTTTGGCTGTGACTCCATCCTGGAGAGAAATATCAGCTGTGCTGCTGCCATCAACACCT